AGACTCGTGGTGTTCTCAAAGTTTTCCTTGAGAATGTGATCCGTGATGCTGTGACCTACACCGAGCACGCCAAGCGCAAGACTGTGACCGCCATGGATGTGGTGTACGCACTCAAACGCCAGGGACGTACTTTGTACGGATTCGGCGGTTAGATGTTGACGCTACACACTCAAACCAACGGCTCTTTTAGGAGCCACCACATGTTTAAAAGTCATTGCCAATAAAGTTTGCTCTGTTCCATGTGGACCCATATTTTACCGCTTTCTACCCCAGTATAGCATATAAATGTAAGCACAGGCTTAGGAGCGTCTTCCCAAAAGAGCAAGATCCATTGTTATTGTTCATTATAGCATAGCCTATAGTTCAATTGGTCCGGTGCTCCAACCGTGCGTCTTCAAACGTTTGGAGTAAAATCGTTAACTTCTGGAGGAAGCTATTTTGTGGCCAATGCTCCGAGTGCTTTCGGAAGGGCCAAATTTTTTCTGCGAGCGAGCTTCTTAGGCCGCGAAGTGGCTGAACGAGCGACGTAGTCGCGACAAGCGTCGTGCGTCATTAGGATCATCGGACGCTTTTGGGCTGTAATCGAAAGTTGTTTATAGTCCAAGATGTGTATTGCTTTGATATTTCACTTTAGGCTGTAATGTGCAAGCCAAAAAGTATATATTTTTCAGTTGTTCAACGGAAAACAGGGTTCTCTGCACAAAGCGTGGAAACGCGCGATATTCGAATAAACAAAATGGGCTGTTTTGGCAGGTTCGCCGGGTAAATGCGGGCAGGAGTTATGTTCTAGTTGTGGAATACTGACAATATGGTAAGGGGGGAAAGGACCGTCTTTTGGTCTTCCTTTGCACAAAAATAAATTCATTGCGTATGCCACCTATATAAGCTTCATTTAATTCTTTTCAATCTAAAATATTTCATGCGCAGTGTGTGCAGCAAGCACGATGTATGTAGCTCACTGATGCGTTAACCGCCAAGAGTAACGCCGTAACCGGGAATATCTAAACGAAATTGTAGCCTCAAACAGAGTCCAAGGTATATTCCTTCGGTTTTTCGTACGTAAACCTAGATCTTCCTAAATTTAAATTGTATTCAATGAGTGATTTAATAAATCAGCTACGCCTTCTTTAATTCAATGAATATGCTCCTTACAGACTAGGAAGAAACTTCCATCATAGAACAACTGAGTGGTCGTGACTTTTATATTATGTGGTGGCTCCTAAAAGAGCCGTTTGGTTTTTTGACGCCGGGAGGATCTGTTTAAGCTTTTGGCTTCTTCTCGGTCTTCTTGGGCAGAAGAACAGCCTGGATGTTGGGAAGAACACCTCCTTGTGCGATGGTGACGCCGGCGAGCAGTTTGTTCAACTCCTCATCGTTGCGGACTGCAAGCTGAAGGTGACGGGGAATGATTCTGGTCTTCTTGTTGTCACGAGCAGCGTTGCCCGCCAACTCGAGGATCTCAGCGCTCAAATACTCGAGCACTGCAGCCAAGTAGACCGGAGCACCAGCGCCAACACGCTCAGCATAGTTGCCTTTGCGCAGAAGACGGTGGATTCGACCAACAGGGAACTGAAGCCCAGCTCGGGATGATCGGCTCTTGGACTTGGTGCCCTTTGCCTTTCCTTTACCGC